CTGATAACTGTCAGTCAGCAATCAGCTCTGATATACTGTCAGTCAGCAATCAGCTGTGATACACTGTCAGTCAACAATCAGCTCTGATACACTGTCAGTCAGCAATCAGCTCTGATACACTATTTTGGAAGCCACAGTGATGGACACAGAATTCTGGAAGCAGCAAGTTACCCAAAGCTACAACATTTTCCTCAGAGAGCATTTGCTATTCACCATTATATGGAGTCCAATATTTATGGAATGTGCACAAGTGACTAATTACCTTTCCTGTACAAATAGCCTAGAATGAGAGACCTTTTTATTACAAGTGCTATTTTTGTGAATTGTCTGTCGTTATGAATTCATGTCCAGGATGGAAATCATTACTTTTGCTCCCTTCTCCAACCCTGTGCCTGAGCCACTGTTCCCCATGAGCCTGTAGAATAGAAGCCGGACCCCCTTCATCTGATGAGCAGACCTATAGGAGTTGGGACAGCCTGGCCACCAGCTGGTCCAGTTCTGTGGCTTCACCAGTGGCTGATCGTGCTCCCAGCATGCCATGCTCTTTGACCTCTGTGTGGGGCGGAGTCTGTGCCTGGCGTTCCACCCTTTGTCTGCTGAGTGACCATGTGCTCGTGCAGCAGCAGAACCCAGACTTTGCGCCCCTTCCCCATCGGCAGCACTGCTCTCACTTTCTGTCTTACATATCTGTATGCATTTATGTTCATCCATGTTCCTTATTTACATGTACACCTAACTCATGCACAAGACAAGAACTATTCTGCAGCCACACTATGTTTTAAAGTGTTTGTGTCTTCTCTGAAGCCCATGTTAGTTCAGCACATGATGAATGATCAGTGTAGCCTATCTGACTAAATCAAAACTCAGTCACAAGAAGGAACAAATGATGCCTGGTTGGATATTCCATGTAGGTACTGCTTTGTGGTGACAATGGAGAGGAAATGGACATAAGTGGAGAGGAGAGTCTGACAGCAGACCTTTCCCATCCCCCGCTGAGCAAATGGATACAGAGACATAGCAGTTTAGGGCATGAGGGTAAACCCGAGGTTACCCATGACCGTAAAATGATTGCTTTTACTTCATTGTCCTCTCCATGCCCTGCAGCCTTGCCATTTTCCTGTGTCATTTGCCAAGAAGATCAGCTATCACAGTGCCCACACTAGAGTAAATACACAATAAATGTTTTGTACGAATGAATGAATGAACAAATGAAGTCATTCCAGTCCTTTCATTTGACAGGTAAGGAAACAGACCCAGAGGTGCAAAGAACAGGAAAGCAGAAAGCACCCCTGTGTGAGCTGCTACCACGTTCACACTCCCGACACCACGGGGTGCTTCCACCTCGATTATTCAGTGTCACCCTGTCAGGAAAAGCATAGCCCTGGCTGGGTAGCTCAGTGGTCAGAGGGTCGTCCCGATAGGCCAAGGCTATGGGTTTGATCCCTGGTCTGGGCACATAGAAGAAGCAACCAATGAATGCATAAATAAGTGTAACAACAAATTGATGTTTCTCTCTCTCTCTCTCTCTCTCTCTCTCTCTCTCTCTCTCTCTCTCTCTCCCATCTCCTCCTCCTCTCTCACTAAAATCAATCAATAAAAATTAAGAAAAATAAGCTTTAATTACACAACTATATATTAGAAGAACTTGAAGCCACATGAATAGGTGGTAACGCATGTTCGCATGTGTACATGGAGAGAAATAGAATGAACTATGGCTTTGGGTGGCAGGAATCTGCTTTTCCTAACCTGTGCTGTTTCGATGGTAGCAGGTGGGAGATAGGGTACGCTCCCACCAGACTTCAAGGCTGCAAACCAGAGCTCAGTTTCTGACCTTGTGACCTGACTCCAGGCAAACCCTTTGCTGTCTCGGAAGCTTACTTTCCCATCTATGAAGCCAGGCCCATAGCAGCAACCCACCCGGAGCTGGGTGGTGAAGGGAGGCGCATGCAAACAGCCAGCCCCAGGGAAGAAGGGAGGACCCTGGCGCTCCAGCTTCCGGGAGGGTGCAGAGCGCACAGGCCTTTCTCAGTGAAGGTGACCGGTTGGCAGTGTCAGTGCAGCCCAGCCTTCATTTGTGTGAACAGATGGAAATCGCGTAAAAATGCACTTCCCCGTTACTGTGGTCTGTGCACAATATGCCAGACGGAAATGACTTCTGCTTCTAATTCTTTTGAATTCACAGTTTAACGTAACTGAGTAATAGAGAAATGACAGCTACAGATGCACGTGTTTCCTCTCATAAGCGTCTACTCTCTAAGAAAATGGAACCACTCCAAGAACCAGAGCAGGAAAGTGAACGTCCCTGCACGGGCAACGTAACTCTGATGAGCAAGCCGGCCGCTGGCTGCTTTCCAATAACCGAGACGCTGGCTTTTCCGACGTCCCTGTCAGCGGCGGCGCTGAGCGCCCGCTCACAAGGAGCCCACCAGGAAATGAGGGGCATTCTCAGCTGTGCACAGGAGGCCTTTGCCGGCGACGTCACGCCTGCCTTTCACATAACACTGCCTAGACTAGCCGTGGGCAAACTACGGCCCGCGGGTCAGATCCGGCCCGTTTGAAATGAATAAAACTTAAAAAAAAAAGACCGTATGCTGGGGTCCAACCCCAGCAGGTCCAGGGGTCCCCAAAGGTGTGGACCGAGTTGGCGAAGAAGGAATGACACGGAGACAGTGTTCAGTTGATCAGCAGCCTAGCCAGGATCTCTAGCCAAGTTCTGGTCAGGATCTCCAGCGAAGTTCTGGTTAGGATCTCCAGCCAGGTTCTGTGTCCATGTTCTCTTGCTAGGTTCTCCAGCCAGGTTCTCCAGGTTCTCAAGCCAGGTTCTGTAGCCATGTTCCCTCGCTAGGTTCTCCAGCCAGGTTCTGTCCAGGTTCTCCAGCCAGGTTCAGTCACCAGGTTCTAGTCAGGTTCTCTTGCCATGTCCTATCCAGGTTCTGTAGCCAGGTTCTGTCTCTAGGTTCTTCAGCCAGGTTCTCTCGCTAGGTTCTGTCTCTAGGTTCTGTGGCCAGTTTCTGTCCAGGATCTTTTGCCATGTTCTCTCCAGTGAAGTTCTTCTGTCTCTAGGTTCTGTATAGGTTCTGTGTCTAGGTTCTGTGTCTAGGTTCTGTCTAGGTTCTGTGCGCTGTTGTCTTGTTACATCTGTATTTATACCAGTCGATTCCAATCCTATCAATCTCTATTCCAAAGGTTAGGGCATTTCTTATCTCCATTCCAGGGAGTAAAGATTATGTAGCTTAAGCATGATTGTTCGTAGTTAAAGTGATTAATTACCAGCCTGGCACTTAGTTAAGGGGTTTTATTCCCTCCCTAACTTCAGGGGAAAATCCCTACCTGGGGAAACAACCTTTCTCAGAGAGGTGGCCTTGGTTAAAACACATAGTGCCAAGAAGGTGAGCAAACATATTAAGAACAGTATGCCATATATGCCAGGTCCCTTGAAACAGCAAGGATGGACCGGCTCCCGGCAAATGTACCCTTTTATGTAATGATGTTTACTTTGAATTTATATTAGTTCACACAAACACTCCATCCATGCTTTTGTTCCGGCCCTCTGGTCCAGTTTAAGAACCCATTGTGGCCCTCGAGTCAAAAAGTTTGCCCACCCCTGGCCTAGACCAAGTGTCAACATTTCTGTTAAGCTGTTTAGCTTTCCATTTTTATATTAAAAATTTCAGTTTAAATGCAATAAATTCACACAAAATAATAAGATCAATCAAGATACACTTCCAATATCTCTTCTCGGCTCTCTGCTGGCCGCTCACTGGAGAGCCCGGGGCAGCAGGAGGGGCAGGCCCAGCAGTGCTGAGCTCTGCCTGTTTGGCTTTGGTCCGCCCTGGCAGTGAGGCTGTGCACGACTGCAGGAGGAGCGCGGGCTGTCAGAGGACAGAGGCCAGCTCACAGCTTCGAGCTGTCTTCTAGGACCCTCTGCTGCATCAGCGTAACCCACGGGGACAGGCACATCTCAATTCTCTTTTCTCCAACCGCTAGCAGGCGGGACGCGCCTTGCTCAGCGCCCTGTCGGCTCCTGGGACAGGGACACTGATGGAGTGAAGACAGGAGTCGGGAGAGGCCTGGGATGATTAGAATGATAGGAGACCTCAATCGCCCGGGACAGCTGCTGACAGCAGGGAATTCAGCGGCCAGAGAGGCTGAGCCAGCTCTTGCGGCCAGACACCAATGGAAGAGCACAGAATGGGCATGAGGCTCAACCGCAGAACATGTTTTCTTTTTTTTTTTTCCAAAGAGGGTCTTTTTTAAAAAACCAAAACTTCCAGGAATTTACTTTTGTTTTCCCCCCAAATCGACCGAATTTTACTTCACCTAAGAAAAGTGCACACAGAACAATGAAGATGCTAAACACATCCCCTCCGTCCACTGGCATTGAGATTATAGGTGTGGGCATGGCAAGCTGACGCCTGGGGAGGGAAGGACCAGATGTTAATGGACTCAGACCCAAGAATGTCAGGGAGAGGGAAGGATGCGGAGCTGCCCCTCGAGAAGAGGAAGACAGTAATGGGGTCTGGGAGAGGGGGGACAGGAATATGCACTTTGTCAAGAAGAGGCTGCATGGCCAGGGGGATGCGATTCGGGGCACGGCAGCAGCGGAAAGTGTGAGTGTGAGCACTGGCGCCATCCTTCCCCAGAGGGGTGACCAGGGACCTGCTCAGAAACTGCATGTCAGCTGCTCGGTGTGTAAGAGGAGAGCAGCATTGCTGTGAATTAGATTAAATCAAGCACCGATGTGAGCCACCTACTGTGCACACATGCAGCTATCAATGAAGGCCGACCTTCCCACCACCTGCTCGTGGGTCAGGAGAGGCGTCGCAGGGTGTGAGAGAGCTGTCTGGGAAGGTTCCGCCAGGCCAGGAGGTCCGCCGTCCAACCAGGCCATGTACATAGGTGCTGGCTGCTCCTATTTGTCCTCATGGTTACCTGCATCGCCTTTCAAGTTGGTGGGCATTTCCATGGCACATAGTGCAGCCTAGTGCTCGCCGACTCACCTGTACAGAGCAGAGAGGGGCCTCTTGTTCCCGGGTTTTGGTCTGTAGGGTTTGGGTTCCCCGGCCATGTTGATATCTGGAAGCATAAGATAAAATAGCACGGATTAAGAAACTATGAAGCCATTTGAGGAAAGTAAACCATGAAGTTTTATGTTCTTCTTGCCACTTGTCTATGCAAATGTTACATGTCCTTCACTCATTCAACAAGGATTTATTGAGCACTGACGTAGGCCCAGCACTGGTGGAGATAGGTCGCGTACTGAGCAGGTTAGACACTCCTCTGTGGAAACCATCCTCTACTGGGGAAACAGACTGTGGGTAACAGATATAATAAGTGAGAAAAATACCTGACATATTGGAAGCTGATCAGTAGTATGAAAAGAGAAAATGTTGAACAGGGTAGGGGGTATTAGGGATGCTACCTAAAAATGAAGAGAGACAGAAAGAGAAGAGAGAGGAGGGAAGAGAGAGAGAGGGGGAGAGAGAGAGAGGGAGAAATATTAAGAAGAGAGCATATTCTTTGCTTCAGGAACGATAACTCTGATAAAGTCACTAAGATTCAATAAGAAGATGCTTAAATACATGACAAAAGAGTATCTGCATGCAATTGACCAACTCAATTTTTAAAAAATGTATAAAACATAAGAAATTGGAAAGTTTAGTACAAAGGTTTGGAAAATGACATAATCAACTAGATTTAATACAGTTAAAATGTCCAAAGGATGATAAAAAGGAACATCCAAAGGAGGCAAAGTTGAAGAACAGTTGGAAAGAAGTGAGGGACATTATTTTGTAAGAAAAAGGGAAGACTTCTGTGGAGTGGATTCAATGCACTGTGTTAGGGATGGATGACACATTGAAAGGAAATTAATTAGAAGGTGATTGGTGGGGTGGAACTGGGCGAGATGGGTTAGACATGCCCTGGAGCCAACCTCCCGTGGTCCCTCCCCGGCTGGCAGCACCTGGGAGGGTGTGGCCCAAAGGGTGTCTGTGGAGTGAGTGGAGTCCCTCCAGCAGGTGGGGTCCCTTGGCCGGGCCTGCGGGGATCGGGCCAAAACTGGCTCTCCAACATCCCCCAAGGGGTCCTGGATTGCGAGAGGGTGGTTCTCGGGTAACACAACCAGGAACCGGACTCCCTCCTCTCTGGTTCCAGGGTGCTTCACCAGAGAACCGCTGCTGCCAATCACTGCAGCTCGGCAGCTCCCACATTGCACATCTGCCCCCTGGTGTCATAGCAACTGGTCGGAGTGTCTACCCTCTGTTGGTCATTGTGAGTCATAGCTACTGGACGGATGGTCAGACGGTCGCTTAGCCTTTTATATACATAGATATGTAAATTTACACGTTCTACACTGCTTTAGTGACCATCATCTGAAATCTAGTGCTTGTGTCACGGGTGAGGGTGAAAGGGGTTGGTTAGGGACAAGGGACAAGGGACAGGGGACAGCAAGCAGGAAGCTCAGCTAATCAGTGAACATAAATCATTGCAAAGGTTGGGATGAGGGAGCACTTCCTTGGTATTGAACTTTATAAATGCAAGATTTAATTGTGTCTTGAGAACAACCCAACTTCTCTGGAAGCCAAAGCTTAGGTTGTTATGTCTCAAGAGCTGTTGACCTTGGAGTGACCATACCTACCAAGTGAATGGCATCTTAACAGTACCCTCTGTGGTCAGTGTCAGAGCGACCTCTGAGGCGTTCTTCCCCGATTGTCCTGGTAGTGTGCCAGCGACACACAGGTAGGGCAAGAAGAGGGATGACCAAGCTTCCATGTTAGCCCACTCTCATAAGATATGAGCTTTGGAGAAAACTATTAAGATACATACAGAACATAAAGTGTCATTTCTTAAGTTCATGAGTTTGCAAGTAAATTCATACCAAATACTAATATTTAGGAATCTTATAGTGTCCTCAAGAAAGGATGTGGATTTAATTATTCTCAACAAATTCTTTTGAGATGGTCCACAAAATCCTAGTTGCATTCTCACTTGCTGTGCAGAAGTTCCAATGGAGGTATTTGTGTACCAAGCTGGTGGACTCTAGTCCCTAAGTCCGAGAATCATATTGTTGTAGAGAGGGTTGGTGAAACCAGGTAAGTACCACCAAAGAACAGTCTCTTGATAAGTTTCTGTTTGGGTTCACCTGTGTGGAGGAACTCCTCCGATCCCTTCCCAGACACAGGGACAAAGCAGAGGGAGCTAAGGCTCTGCCTGAGCCCAGGAGACCCCTGGACACAGCAGACCTCCACATAAGGAGGGGTAGGGGCCTGTGACATTGTGAGCCTCTGTAAGGATCAACTGAGAGGCTTATACAATGGAACCATATCTATATTTTTAAATATGTTTTTATTGATTTTAGAAAAAGAGAGGAAGGAAGAGGAAGAGAGAAACCATCAATGAGAGAGACAAGCATTGATGAGAGAGAACCATCTATTGGCTGCCTCCTGCATTCTCCCTGCTGGGGATGGAGCCAGAAACCAAGGCATATACCCTGCCTGGGAATCCAACAGGTGACCTCTCTGTGCATGGGATGATGTTCAACCAACTGAGCCACACTGGCCAGGGCAAACCCATATCTATTTTGAGGTTTCAGTATTTCAAGTAAGCATAAGAAATACAGAAAAGAGAAAAATTTATCCTTCTAATACTAAACCTCAGATTCAAACAATTGAAAAATATTCTGTTGGGCCACTAGCTTCACTGAAATATATTCAATGTTCTAAAAAATTTAATGAGTTTTCTTTTCTTCTTTAGTTTTACACTAAATAAGCAATGTCAATATACCATGAGAGAAATAACTAGAAAGTTAGAGACCTGGAAAAAGTCAATGAGCTGAACGAACCTCTTTGGATTTGAGGTAAATGATTCGCGGCAGAGGGAGACAGGTGCCACTGCAAAGTGCCATCCTCAGAAAGGGCAGCCTACACACGGAAATGTACTTACATGTCCAGTTCCTGGTGGCGTTCCACTGAAAGTGGTAGTGGCTGCATTCTGTGATTTTATGCCTTGAGTCTTGGGAAGATACCTCCAACTCTACACCCAAACTCTCCTCTGCTCCCACCTCACTTAGGCACTGTTCCAGTGGCACTGACTACTGACTGCCCCTTTGACCTGGGACGTCTACAGGACAGTCATCATTTCTGTGCCCTTCAGCATCCTGCCCAGGGGTGTTTGTCCCTTCCTGTGCCCTTCAGCATCCTGCCCAGGGGTGTTTGTCCACCAGGTGCTCAAAGAGCCCGCCAGTCCACAGCCCAGCAGGTGTAGCTCCGCACGGCCTGTGGAAGTGGAGCCAGCTCACTCGGTCAGCACTGGCCAGTGGGCTGGTTACCTGAAGAACGTTTTGGAGGTTGCTGTTAGGTACACTGGCAAACACATAAATCATGGCAAAATGCCATCATATATCCCTTTCTTGGGTATCTGTAATGGATATTAAAGCATAAGATTCTGGAAAAAGAACCCTCATTTATGTTTCCCTTCAGTGATTTTATATAGATGTGAACATAGAGATGTTTTGGATGTTACCCAGCAAAACAGAGCGCCCCTAAAATAATAGTTTGTGAGATAACCAGAAATATTTAAAAAAGTATTTTACAATTATTTATTTGCATGTATTCAATCTGGAATATCCTCATAAAAGTGAATTGACTCTTTGAAATCATGTAATATTTACACTATTACAATAAACAAACACCTGTCACCCATCTCTACCACCCTGTGGGCATCCGTCGTGGAGAGAGAAATTTAACCTTGATATCAAAGTGATGTCTACCTCATAGAGTAATGAGGCATCCACATTACCAATGTGATCTTTTTATTTATTTTTTATTTTTTAAAATATATTTTATTGATTTTTTACAGAGAGGAAGGGAGAGGGATAGAGAGTTAGAAACATCGATGAGAGAGAAACATCCATCAGCTGCCTCCTGCATGCCCCCCACTGGGGATGTGCCCACAACCAAGGTACATGCCCTTGACCGGAATCAAACCCGGGACCCTTCAGTCCACAGGCCGATGCTCTATCCACTGAGCCAAACAGGTTAGGGCACCAATGTGATCTTTTTAGATGGAGAAAGCATTTACAAGAAGAAAAACAATTTCTAAGTGAATAAATGAAAAGTAATCTTCTTATTCTTGGGATAGTTTTGCTTCACTCCCTGCCCTGGGATTCAATAACAGTTTAAATAATTCAGCTATGGCACAGACACTGCCAGGAAAAGCCACTCGGTCTTTCATTGTTCACATTTGGAAGATTTAGAGATTCACTCCTGTTTCATTGAATAAAAATCCAGGAGATGAAGAAAACAGTCTGCTCTGTTTGACAAGTGAAGGTGTAAAGCCATCCATTACCCGGCACAGGCACCGATTGGGCGGGAGTGCAGTGACTGTGAGTCAGCACCCAGGGGCAATCCTGGGAAATACGCAGGGGGGCCCCTCCTCCCACGCCACGCAGACAGATGTCCGAGAGGCCGAGAGATTAGATGGCTCCCATGATGATGCGTGACAACTGTCTTTACTAGTGAGCTCAGGCCCATGCCAGGCACTGTCCTGGGAGAGAGGACGGCCTGAGCCTCTGCAACAGCGGGGAGCCACAGCTCCACCAGACCCGGTTCAGGATCCCCCCCCCCCCTTCCCCGTATCACGGCTCTTCACCAGATCAGGACGCCACTATTCTCTGCCCCTCAGACCTGGCCTGGCTGTGGGAAGCAGCAGGGAAGTCCTGTCCTGGTCCCAGGGGTCTTGGCATCCTAGAGGCTGTAGAATTGAGGGGTGCTGTGGGGAGCAGTCTGGCAGTGATGCGGAAACACGTCTGACTCTCTCTCAGCTGCCTGGTGGGTTCCAAGGCGGTGGTCAGCTGGGGCTGCCCGGGGTGCTGGATCTCAGGGCGATGCCCCAGTCTTGCAAAGCGAGCCAGGCCCAGCTGTGCTCTCCAGTGCGGACTTCGGGGCCATTTCCAGCCTGAAGCTGAGGGAGCGTGCAGCCAGTTTTGTACAAAAGCGAATGGTTCTCAGCTTGTTCTTCTTGCAGAACCAGAGCTTTAGCATCTGGAATAGGTCCTTATGGCATGTAAACTAGTCACT